AAAATGGAGCTTCCTTCTCATACCTTCTACGGGGAGGTGTACAGAGGTAAGACGTAAGTGCATGGACTTACGTGCAAGTCGCAGTACTGCACCCGACAAGGAGCTGAATGTAAGGCCACAGAGTGCAAGTAAAGACAAGCTGAATTCCTCAGCAGGCGAGAGAAACATGCGACGTGTTAAAATTCAAACCCGGAAAATTGATGGGAACTGACTGCAATTAAGTAAACATACCATAAGAAGCAGTACAGGCTCAATCGAGTCATTAAACAATAAAATAAGTGGGGGAGGTTGTACAGATCACTGTCATTTCAGGCAGGTGGGGAGTCAGGATCAGCCTCAGGGTACAAATGCTCCAGTATTTCTGCTAGGTTGGACAGGGTGGGAGGGGTCCCCCGCATTGCTGGGCTTTTAAGGAGGATATCCTGAATGGAGGAAATCTGTCTGCAGTGAGGCGCTGCCCTGCAGTCTGCCAGCTTACACAGAGCGGCTTGGAGAGCAGGCTTACCGATGGACTCTGCCCCCCCACCAAAATTTACACCCTGCTTTTATTTTAATCTGGCTCATTTTCTCTGTTTTCTATTATGTTTGTATGCCTGGGGGGGTGGGGTTGGGCAGCTAGTCGACCTTGGGCCTCCAGAGGTTTTTTTTTTCTTTTTCTGTCCCTATTCAGAAGTTCCTGGTTCCTCTCCTCCGTTTTCTGGCATTCTTTCTTTGCCTTTCCTTGTTTTGTGCACCATTTTGTATAAGTGATGTAGTAATAGATTGCCACACACTCTTATCAAGTGCCTTAGGGGCAACGCTGTGATATTAAAATTAATTGCATTGAGACGGTGATACAGCGGCTTAGGACACTCTCAATGGTGCCCCTGTAGAACATGGGGAGGGATTGTTCTCCTTAGTCGACACAGGAAAAGCTTCTACCTGCCATCCTCCCCCAGTCCTACAGGGCACCGTTGGGCCTCCATTGGAGATGCTGCTGGACCTTCTTGGCTACGGAGATGGTGTTGAAGGTGCATGTGAGGCTCTCTGCCAGGGGCTGACAAAGACAGGTTCCTCCTGGCCAGCGTGGGCTTTTCTAAAGCTACCAAGCATTCCTCATGATTTGCCCGAGTTAAGCGGTAGTGTATTTTTCTTGCATTCCTGCTCCGCCTGCTTTCTGTGTGCTGACTCATCGCCGTCGCTGAACAGACCCACCGCTGGCGTGACGCAAGCGCACAACGATGATGCTGTTTGGCCTGTACTCTCTAGTACAGTCATTTGTCGGGGGGGGGGGGGGTGAGATGGTGACAACACAATCCCATACACTTGCTGACATTCCTTTGGCAAGAGGGACAACCGGATAAACAAGAGATCTGTTATGACATCAAAAGAAATTAAAAACAACCAGATGATGATACCTGAATAGGGAGGGAAGAAAATAAATTCCTGCAAATTATGGTGTGGCAGCGTGGCCTGACGCCTCCTGAGAGGTGGGTTCAGGTATCTCTCTCAATTTAGGTCTCTGCTCTGTGTACATGAAATATGTGGACATGTGGAGCCTCTGTGGCCAATCAGAATCAGTCATTATTAAACTACCTGGGAGAACTGAAAACAAGGCCTGGATTTCAACTCGAGGGCCAGATTTCTATAGGGGAACATATGGTAAACTCATATCTGATGAAGTTCCATCAACCCTAATCATTAAATTTTTGAAAGGGTCGAGATGAGCTTTAATGAGTAAAACTCTTAGCCTGTGTTTATATCGTACTAGTTTCCTTTTATGAATAGCGATACTTGCGTCAAAGCTCACCTGCCAAAAATGTTTCTTTTGTTTATTACCGGATAATGACCTGTATATTAAACGGATGTGAGGCATCCTGAAAAGAAACTTAGTTCATATACATGAAGTGAAATTTCTGAAATATGAGTTAGTTCTTTCACACCAGGCATTTTGATTTGGCTTTTGTCTATCGACGTATCAGCCTCAAAATGATACCGTGCTTTGGCATGTACCCTGTGCTTGGCACCCCACCTGGGCTGCACCCCAGCCTCCTGCACTGCCTGGGATGGGCTCCAGTCCCCCCCCAGGACCCTAACCAGGGTAAATGTCTACAACATGGAGGGATTTTACCATAAATGAGATATTAGGTGTTTTATTTAATAATTAAGAGATTACACGTTTACCTCATTGAACCAAACGCAGTTTTATGAGTATTTGAGGGGAAAACTGTATCATGTTCCTTCAAAGGACTGTGCAAATCCTTTATTCCTTCACCTCTCTCTCCCCCAACCTATATTTCATCGTTTTGGCCCAGGATCACAATCCTCCCAATTCTGTTTGATATTTAATTGAGGGTGCCTTATAGAATCAGTAGGAATGTGTTGAAGCAGCACTTTTGATGTGTATCAATCGCAAGAAAGGACACGTCGCCTGAAACTCTACTTCATTTTCAGAAACTGCAGGGTTAGTCAGGCCTACAATGAGCCATAGTCTCTCACAGGGAGAGTATTGTAGAACATTTGCATACAAATGTAGACTAATAGTTTCACTTGAAAGGAAAGGGATGGATAAATGAATGAATGGATATCCTTTGTTTGATCTGTATACTTCGGCTTCACTTGAAATTTTCTACTCACCTGTTGTCTGGACAGCTCAGCTCCTATTCACAGCCCGTCAGAGGTCACATACAAACACGTAAGAAATAAATTCTCATACACCCTCTTCAGCAGGCAGTCTTTTTCACTACTGATAATTACTTTTCTCTTGTTCTTGATTCTGCCTCTCCAACACTGGTATCTGCACTTGCCTGGGCAAGTTGGAATGACTCTCATTTTCATTATAACCTGCAGAGTGTACCCACCCTTGCTGGAGGGATTGTCTGTCATTTATCAACAGTACTCAAGAGACTATTCAAGCACGTGTGTATTGGCTCAATCTTCTCAAACATCACTGCCAAACTGTTTACTGATTATTTGAACAGCTGGATATCTAATGCAGTGAGATTTTTTTCATTTATCCAATTAGTTGGAAATTAAATGTGGATGCCTTTGTAAAAACATATTTTGCACTGTTGCCTGTGCTCAGTGTAAATGCAGGCAAACATCCAATGTTAATACTAAAGTTCATTATTATTGTAAAACCGGCTTTGCGTGTTTAGTGAAAATGTAATTTTACATGTATTTTACTTTTTTTTTCTTTTTTGAGAACAAAACATGTGATTCTTGCACAGGTACCTTTTTTATTTAACAGCTATTAAGGATAAATGCCTTTGCCATCCAGTATTATCTATATACCTTTCAAATGTGTAGTGCCGTCAAACATGGATTGTTAGTGTTTACTCTGACCTGAAATGCTGCCGAAATTCCAGTTAAACCTGATTTTCAAGTCTTAACAGAGAATTAACACCCAGAGTGCGTTTCAGAGGCAATAATATTTACACACACACACACATATATGCCCCTGTATAAATACATGCAGGGGCAAAGAAACAGGGGCACGTGTACCTCCCCCCAATATTTATTTTGGATTCATTCACATCAAAAAATGTAAATGATTAAGTTGTGTCAAACTCAATATCAAACTTACTGTATATATAGTGTGTGTCTGTTTATGTTTGTGTATGGCACTTTCTGCTGTGTATTACTAAATGTCCACTGCGAGAAACACTTACAGTCCATTAATGATACATTTTGTAGATGATATCAAATTCTTACCTTTTCCTTGTCATTTTATCATACGTATATATTTTTGTTAGTGTTACACATCGCAATTTTAGCCATTTGCCTTTTTAGTTTACCGTAGTTTTACGTGCCTTTCACACGAGTTGAATTCTGATCTTGACTGGGACCTTGACTAGCTTTTAAAAACCAAGTCTTCGCTGTATTTGCATGTATTGACATTTTTACATGGATGCAATATGTAAATCTATCTTGCGAATCTGCCATCCATTGCCGCTTTATTTGCTATTCAAATAACATGTGTTTATATCCAATAAAGGATCGGTAAATGTACAAGCTAGCTATTGTTGTGATGTGAAATCTAACTTTACAATTTTATTACAAGGTAGACTGTCATCGACGTCGCAGCTGTAGAACACTTCTTTGTAGTCAAGGTCCAAATGCGTCAAGGACAATCTAGTTACACACTTTTAAAGTCCTCTTTTTATTCCTTTTATCATCACATGAAGTGATGCAATAGAATATTTAAAAGTATGCTTTGAAAATTATCACACGTACGTGGATCAAGGGGAATTACGAGATTAGTGAAATATGTAGGAAAACACGAACCAATTATTGCTCCTTAGTGGAACTTAAGTTTATTTAATTCGGTTTCTATTGATTTATTTATAAAAATGACTAGGCGACTTGATGGGAAGTACTCACCGGTTAAGCCACTGACGTGTTAGTTTGTTGACTCGAGCCGGTGTTCTGTCGAGTTGAGCTACTTTGTCCAGTTAGGCTAATCGATAGCCCTAACCATAATCCTTACCGTAACCCTGACCCCCAAAAACCCATAAAACCCTTACCCTTACCCTAACCCAAACCCCTAAAACCCTAACCCCCAAACGGTGGAACTGCACATGCGCAAAAAGGCTCGATAGTACGTCTCGATAGGTAGCTCAACTCGTCATAACACCGGCATTTCATAAACGATTTGTGTCCGTATGCCAAATCATGCACTGGCCAAATCTAAAATATAACACACTATGTAATGCGTATAATACAATTATCTGTCCTTAATGTACTGAATGCAGAAATGGGAGACGTTTATACGTGTATAAAAAAACTTTTCTAATAGTCAGAATGCACTCGGTAAACTTTTACATTGTTGTTGCTAAATTAATTGAATTACCCTGCTAGGGATCTTCGTTTGTATGGGAATATGTTCACCCGATTTTTTACTTTTATTTTTTTTTGGGGGGGGGGGTGGACTACATGCACTCCCAGTAAAAGATACGGTTATAGAGGAGTATACTTCCGAGGGAGGCGGTCATGCTCTTCACCAATGTAAAGAGAGACCGATCTCATCGGCGGGGGTGGAGTATGGAGCGGGGCACAGGTGAAAGAGTACAGTCACACGGACAATACCGGGAGCCCCAGGGACTGCTGTCATAACAATGACAGGGAGCAGTTGTTAACCGGATGATCTGAAACAAACGATTTACGGGTATATTTAATAAGTTATTTCATATTATTCAGACAAAAAGTTCGCATATAGTTACTTTCCAGGTGAAATGATTAACGCGGAGGTGTTAAGGCCGATGAACAGCGGGCGTAAAGCGCTCGGTAAACTCGCCAGCCGGCTGGAAGAAGTGAAGAACCCGTGGAGGTACAGTTCGGCCTTGGAGCTGAGCCACAATGAAGCGGCCAGACTGGCCACGGACGCCTTACTGGAGTCCGGGGAGAATGAGTACCGGCGTGTCTTGGCGGAGGAGAGAGAGCTGAACTTTCTTTCATCTCTGGAAATTAAATTCATTACCGAAAACGTGGCCAAGAATAGCTTCTCGAGTGCTGTGTGCGGAAACGGCTCTGATATCGGGGAGGGGGACGCGGTGTCGGAGCTCACCTCTGGGACGTATTTCCCCATGATGTCGGACGAGGAGCCACCGATACTGGAGCTGGGCTGGCCGCAAGTTCCTGACCGATACGGACCCTCGGAAACGCAGATTTACTTTCAACGGGACAAGTCGCACAACGTCAAAGACCTCATTCGCTCAGTTATAAGTAAAGCCAAGAAGGTATGCGAGATGTTATAAAGACATAAAGAATCTTAACTGTCATCTTCAGCTATACACCTGTACGTTAATTATGTTTCAAAACACTTCCAACCTAATGATGTGAATCTATTATTGGCTACACTTGTTATATGACAGCATGTTCGATATATATTTAATATACAAAAATATTAAAATATATTCACACGAAACGTATACCCATATGTAAAAAAATTACTCTGGTATGGGCGTATTTGACCTTTTATATTTGCACGCATGTAGCGCAGTTGAAAAGTTGTTTATGACTTGGCCTATTAATTTTTCTTTGTGTAGGTAATAGCGCTGGTGATGGATGTTTTCACGGATGTTGATTTGTTCTGCGATCTGATGGAAGCTTCCGAGAAACGTAGAGTCCCCGTATACATTCTCTTGGATGAGAAGAACCTGCACTACTTCATTGAAATGTGTAAAGCTCTGGATGTCGACAGTTCGCAACTTACCGTACGCCTGCTTTCATTTCATTATACGGCTAATCGAAAAACATGAATTTAGGCACATTACTGACTGTTAAAGTTAAATAATTATGATGGATTAACTAAACTCGCAGTTAGTGCGTAAAGAGCCATGCAGTCTAAAATCTAATTTAGGATTCGGAAAGTTATGTTAAGTGTTTGGGTTTGGGGCTTCTAAAAAAGTGAATAATTCCCAAATGAATTGGATATTAGAGCCACAGCACATACAGCAGTACTGCTCAGGTAGGCCTAACACTGTAATTCCCTTCCAGAACATGCGAATTCGGAGTGTTTGTGGAGAGACATACTGCACCAAATCCGGGAAGAAGTTTGCTGGGCAAGTCCAAGAGAAGTTCCTCATCGTGGACTGTGAAGAAGTCATTGCAGGATCATATAGGTATGGAGCCGTTTGTTTTGTGCGTTGCGTCACTGGGGAATGACAGTAGGCGCATCTCGTTTCAAGCCCCACACTTTGGTGCAGTTACACAAGGGCCAAATCAGAGGAAAATTTAAAGTTAAAGCCATCTCTGTATCACCTACTGCCATTCATCTGTCTTTTGTGTTGACATGGAGTGTTGGCAAAATTCAGACTCAGCCAGCCGAAATCAGCCCAGAACAGTGACTGTTAACTTTGCTGGTAGAACTTAGACAGTTCTTTTTTGTTTTGTTTTTTTACTGGATATTAAATAGGTAAAACTGTGAACAATTACTCATATAAAACAATTATATATGTTAACGTGTATAAATATATAAACATGCCGTCCGTTTACGCATTTCTAAGCAATATGCTTATGATGTTGTTGGTCGTCTAAAAACGGTGCATCCTAGACTGCATGGAGTTTTCCCTCCTCGCAACTAAAATAGTCCGGACTACGTGTAGGAAGCTTCCTTTCATTGACGTCTAATGAACTGTGTTGTCAGCAACTGTGCATCCCGCTTGTCCGCCCCCCAAGTTCATGCGGGTCACCGGAAGCCGCCTGCGTCCGTTGTTTGTTCTGGGAACGGTGTTTTATTTCAGGGTAGGGAGCCCAGAACGCATCAGTTTAACTTGTGGGTGAGCGCAAACAGCACTGGCTATTAAGGCTCTTCAAGGGTCCAACAAAGAAGCGATTCTTTAGCTGTTTCTGTTTCGAAGGAGTGTATTTAACTAATCCAGGGTAAGCATATTCTATATAAGCCTGAAGTGGTAACAGAAAATACAGAGCTGCAAAATACTGAAAGCTGTTTCTGAGAGAAACAGTAAACAGTACAACACGTAATTAACTGTTTTGGCTGCAATCAGTTTATTAATAAATAACTACAAATTTTAAAAAGTCAGCAAAACGATATTTAATACAATGCATAGATGTAAATACCTATTCAAACAATGTGTCTGGTTTCTTGCATGTCTTCTAAAAAAACATGCTCATTATTTAGTATTTAATTTAAGTTTATCAGTATTATGTATTTACTCAAATCAAACATAGATATTTGCAAATCAGCAGGCCTATAACTGACAATGAACATATAGTTGTTCCAGTCACTAGAAATTACATTTTTATACTATTAATTCTACAAAAGTACATTTTAATCCTTTCACATCCAGTTCTCTTTCAATATAATTTAATTTTAACCAGCTCGATACATAATTCCACACTAACTGTGCCCTTTCACAGGTGTGCTACAGAAATCCTATCTGTGTATTAACCTGAATCACTTTCCCTAGACAAACCCATGACAGTAACGTTCAAGGAATTTTTCCTGGCGGTGGTGTTGGACTCACTTAGACACATGCAGGTGCACATAAATATTATGATTTAAGATGGATAGATATAGAGCCTGAAGGTGAATATGAGAATTACTGCACAGGTACTTGCAGAGAGTTGCACAGGGTTATGGAAACATGGTAGTCAGGAGAAGAGTGACATAGAGAAGGTAAGTAGTTGTATACAGTGGGGTCATGTTTGAGTGTCAGGTAGGTATTAGGTGTGGATCAGTAACTGTTCAGGATTGACTCAGGCTGGGAGTTGGCAAAGGTTTGTTCATGTGAAAGTGCATCTGGTTTCAAAACCAGTAATCTGGTTCTGTATTTAAGTTATCCAAAGCGGTCCCATTCTTGTGGACTTGTTTTGGATGTTAAGAAGTTCCAGTTTGAAAGACCGTCTTGCGGTTGGTCGGTCATTCGGGCCTTAAGAACCGCTTCGAGTCAGTTTGCCGAACAAGTGACAACTATTTGTCCCATTCCTACTCCTGTGTATGATGAGTGGAACCTCGTCACTAATAGCCACTTTTAAAGATGCACATTTTCCAAAAGTATGATGACCTGATATCCCTGACTGCCTGCCGTCTCTTCTGCAGCTTCACCTGGCTTTCAGCGCTGGTCCACAGCAACATGGTGCTGCACTTTTCTGGGAGGGTCTCCGAGCCCTTTGACCGGGAGTTCCGCTGCCTCTACGCTGACTCCCAGATCATCAGTTACTTTGACGACCCGGAGGAGGAGGAGGGACTTCCCTATTACCCAGTCTCCAATCCAGCACCCAGCACGGGTCTGGATATGCAGTTGTCCCGGGAGAGAGATTATTCAGAGAACTCCAGTAGTCAGTCTAGTAGCAGTGTGTCCAGCATCAAGAAGGCCCCTGGGATGTCCAGTCACGTCAACAAGTTTGAGCAGGAAAGTAAGCAACCAGTTCCGGACTGGAGAGTTGGCCAAAACCAGGGAGCATGGAACTCAACAAGCAGTCCCGGTCAGAACCCGGTAGTGGACCACGGCGTCTCTGGCGTAGGCCAGACTGAGTGGTACAAAGCAGCAGCTCCTGATTCCTTTACAGCTAATGTTGGAGGAACCACGTCAAAGTTGCAGGGTCTGGGTATCTACGATCACAAACCAAACTATCACGGTACCCCTAGGTCTCCACCTGGACCGGACGTTAAAGTCACCAACAGGAACAGCAGAAATCAATCCCGCCCCATCCTCAACAAAATAACTGATTTCTTCTCAGCCTCGGGTAAGGAGAAGTCCCCTCCTCAGAGCATGGCCTTTGGAGGGCCAGATCTTTCGCAGACAGAGCCCGAGAGCAAGCAAACACTGCCTCCCCCACCAGTATCACCCACAGATGGGTCTTTCATGGGTCATCGGATAACACGAAATGACAATGGAAGGATGACCCTGGGACACAGTAAGCTTGACCTGGTCAACCACTACAACAAAATGAAGACCAAGAACATCTACAGTAGATTTGAGCTCAAGAATAACAACCCTGGGTAGGAGGTCACATTGTGGAGAAATGTCTTTGCTACTTATGAGAGAAGCAAGAGCAAGTACTGCAGGATAATTGCATGGATTAAAACTGAGTAAGTATCGCAGACTGTGTTCTCGTAATGGCCAGCGGACGGACTGCAGAACTTCCTAAGTCTTGCCCTTTGAGGATGCATATTTGTATATGTTGTGCATATTATATAAGTACGAACATCCATTCGAAAGGACTGTTCATACATATCAGAGCACATGAATTTTACATGGAAGTGTGGACTGCTTCAGAAACTGTGCAATTAAAGGAAAAACAAACCTGTGACCTGCACTGTATGACATATACCTCTGATTTCCAGATGCTCTTAAGTTCGTGATTTCAGCTGCAGAATGGGTGATTTCTACAAGCAGAACGTCTCTGTAAAGTGCGCACTGATGATCTCACGGGAGACAGCATTTCAAGGGCATGTTGTCTAGCGCTCTTAAAACTACCAAAATACAGAAATTACATGAGTCATCACTGCGTCCACCCATAATTGACGTCCTCATAAACTACATTGTTCTACATGTTTCAGCCTGTTGTGGTTTAAGCATTTACCTTTTTTTGCGTACATAACTCTGCATAGTAAAAAATTAAATCGTGTATTTTATAATACTGTCTGGAAATAAATGAAACAAGTATATAGAAAAATTTTATATTAGAAATTTCAGCTGTCAGCTGCAGACATTGCAATTTCATGGGAGGGGAAGAAACGTTTTTGTATGTTAAAGCTGAAATAATTCTTGCAGCGTTGTTTACAGGAAACATGTTGATGTGGGAGAAACCAAAAATGTTTTTCTGCTCTCCTTAATATACTGAAGTGATACCCAACCGATTCTGTTGCACAAAACAGCACACTTAACAACTAATCAAATACAAATGACTCCCATAATTTTTTTTCCACTGTATATACCAACATGGCTGTGAATATCATGAGACTCAATGATTCTTTTTAAATTAGGTTAGTTTTTTCTGACTTGTTTTTTACTAAATTATTTTTCAACCAAAATGTTGTGAATATTTAGCATAAATCATTGGTGGAATAGTTTGTTACCTACATTTTGTGGTATAATGTGAATGTTTGATAAAAGCAATAATAAAAGCAATTCACAATTTGTATGGTTGTATATAGCACTGAGATCTTTTTAAACAACTTTTTATTTTTGGGTACAAAACTAAAGTAGCAACTATGGATTTAGAGGAAAGTACTTGAAAGCAGTGTTACATAAATTGTAAAGTGTAAAATTGTATTTTGGGGGGGTGGTGACTGTTTTGTCATTTTCAGTATCTGACATTGAAACCAGCTAAACATAAATTAAAAGTCAACTGGTGGTTAAATCTTCTGTTGGACATACTTTTTGCTGTTTTACAGGGTGTGTTCTGTGTTTGTCAAATGAACCCTGCTGATTTGTTGAACATCCTCATGTCAGGGGAAAAAAACCAAGCATGGTGACAGAGGCCTGAAATATTTTTAATGGCTGTTGAGCAAGATGAACAGAAATGCTTGAGTGGTTTTTTAAAAAAGAAAGCATTTTTGGTATGAAAACTCTCCAAATGCCTGAGGAGAGGCAGACTTCTCTGCAATGTCAGGAAAGCTGAGTTTCATAACCTCTCATCTTACTTTGTATTTGTACAACAGACACATATCTTGGGCAACTGAACGCCATATGTTAGTCACATCTGTTGTATTTATTGAAGCGTGGAAGAATAACACACACCTTGTTCAATGGAATCAAATCGCTGTCCCTGCCTAGGTGTATATATTATCCCCTCTTGAAAAAGCTACTAAACATTTTTCAGCCTCTATTAGATCTAGTATAAAACTAAGCTACCTGAAATTGATATTGTAGAAAAACAGTATAATGTAGTAACGGATACTATAATAAAGTAACATGATGGTTTTATAGGAAGTATTCTTACAAAACATCACATGGTATCACAAGGCAGACAGGCAAAACGCTATTACAAATGGAAATTCTTTGGCACAATTTGAGTCAGGTGTCTGGAAATAGACCCAGTTTCTGGCATCTGTGACTGAACTGAAGAATCAGCCAATGCTGAAGATGAATGTTTGTTGCATATGTATATGGTACCTCCAGTACCTCAGCTTTCTGCTTTGTGGTCCAGTCGCCCCCATGTGTGTGTGTGTGTGTGTGTGTGTGTGGAGTTTGCATGTTCTCCCCATGTCATTGTGGAGTTTCCTTTGGGTACTCCAGTGTCCCCACCACAGCCCAAAAACATGCAGAGGTTGATAGGAGTTACCAAATTGCCCATAAGTGTGAATGGTGTGTGAGTGTGAGTGTGCCCTGTGCTGGGTTGGTGCCCTGTCCTGGGTTGTACCCTGCCTTGCACCTGTGTGTGTGTGTGTATATATATATATATATATACATACATACATATACATACACCAATAGTCTGCAGGGTTTGTGAACTACTCCAACGCTTTTGATGTAGCTAATTTTAGGTTTATAATTTGCCGTAAGATCTCTCGCACGAGCGTGAGTCAGAGAGCCTGAGTGTCACGCCGGATGCTTGAAAGTCGCAAACCCTGTTTTATTGCGCGTTTTACTTTTATCTTCAGTTCGCTGGAATAGAGTGCATAGGACGGTCACCTTAAATACACTTGTCCCTAGTCCAAATGCATGATTCATATTTCAGGGAGAAAATAATTTCATTTTCGCAGAGTAGCATAGAAGCCGAGGAATGTGGCTGAAATTTCAATTATGCATGAGTTCATTATGCGTTTCAATTGAAATTTCAATTGAAAAACGTTATCGCGACGAGTTTGCATCCATGGGTCCAATATAATAGCTGCAAGTATTTTGTGTTTTCTGTAGTGGAAGCCCAGTATCTTAATTAATATTAATCACTCTAGAGCTTTTCGAAGCAACGCTTTTACCGTGGATACTGACTAAATGACCAAATGTTTTCTTTCTGGTGGGTTCCTGTCTGTAGGCTTCCCGGTTGCGCCACGGGATACGGTTAGTTTCGGCCCGCTTTCCATGTGCCACCTTCCTCGGTACCACGCATTGCACGTGAATATGAGTCACCTTGAGTAACGTACTAGTGACATTATTACTTGATTTGTTGAGTAGCCTACTGCAAATTAAGGCATGTTGGAAAACCAGTTCATTCTGATGTTTCCCACTGCTGCCAGCTTTTTATTCTGATATTCGGAATTTTAAGCATTAGCGGAATCGGGGAAGAGCACTCATAAACAAATTACATTTAAGTGGCCAAATTAAATTTCTTGATAATTTGTTCGCTGACCGCTGAAATGCTGCTCTGCGCAAATACAATAAGTGGAAACTAAACGATTCTTTACTTTTGTAACTACAGTGGTTTCGTAAAACGCTAGAAAATCTTTCGTGTTAATAAATCTATAAACATACGGGGAAAAACTAAACATTAAGTAGCCTGTTACACAAGCTTCCTTGTGCGGTCACGTGGTACCGCTGTTTCGTCTAGGTAGTTTCAAGTCATGAGTTGACGCTTAGTCACGCAGACTGCCACTGGAAATCTACCGCAAATAACATGTCTCAGAGTTTTGTGGGGTTATTCTACCATTCTTCCAATTAGGTAGCTTCAAATCTTCTGTAAACCACAGATTAAAACATGCCAGTGGGATTTATTAATCTTTACAAATTCTTAAACAAACCAACACGCCCCAAATACCCATTTGTCTGTGGCCTATGGCTTCTCCTGTGTAGAACAATGTGTTTGTTTGATATATTGTAGATGCTGTCTTTGCTGTTTGCATACATGTTTAACACAGGGATGAGACCTTAAATAGCAGTACCACGCTAGACCAAACTAGGCAGTCCACAACAGTGCAAAATACTACTCTTCAAATTAGAAAAATGACAGTAGAAAGAAAGAAATGTTCTCTACTTATGTAGTGGCTGACTGATAGCAGTATGTTGTATTGTTATAAGGTATAATATTGGTATAATATTTGACCACTACAGATACACTTATTAAGTGTTACAAATTCATAATGGTATAAATAGCATGCTCCCAACTACCTAAAGCATCTCACGTTTCCTGTTTGACCTATGACGTCTGATTCAGTGATCAGAAGAATTAAAGAATGGAAATTGAGGTGTGACCAGATTTTTGCCAATCTCATTAAATTGTAACACTCGTTCCTGTGGGATGTAGAAGATTGCTGGTAAGAATATTTCAGAATATTTAAAAAGTATAATCTAGTACTTCATAAGCACAAAGAAGGTAGCTACTAGATAGATAGATAGATAGATAGATAGATAGATAGATAGATAGATAGATAGATAGAGTAGAAGGGTGTAATTTTACGTAAGTTGATTCGCTATTGCGAGCATAAGGGTGTCCATAAGTGGACATGGTACTAACATGCCCAGGGCTACAGGTCGATGATCGATTTTATAATCGTATCATCTGATCTGTGGCCTTCCGTCTTAGACACTCGGGTAAAGAGAGGGGCTGAGCTGTCAACTGATCACCACCTGGTGGTGAGTTGGCTCAGGTGGCGGGGGAGGAAGCCGGTCAGACCTGGTAGACCCAAGCGCATAGTGAGGGTCTGCTGGGAACGTCTGGCAGAGGCTCCTGTTCGCCGGAGCTTTAACTCGCACCTTCGGCAGAATTCCAACTGCATAACGGGGGAGGTTGGGAACATTGAGTCTGAATGGACACTGTTCCGGACCTCCATTGTGGAAGCGGCCGTACGGAGCTGTGGCTGCAGGGTGGTCGGTGCCTGTCGTGGCAGTAACCCTCGTACCCGATGGTGGACACCAGAGGTGAGGGGGGCTGTCAAGCTGAAGAAGGAGGCTTACCAAGAATTATTAGCCCGGGGGTCTCCGGAGGCAGCTGATGGGTACCGGCAGGCCAGGCGGAACGCGGCTTGGGCGGTCGCAGAAGCAAAAACCTGGGCATGGGAGGAGTTCGGTGAGGCCATGGAAAGTGACTTTCGGTCGGCCTCAAAAAGGTTCTGGCAAACCATCTGGAATATCAGGAGGGGGAAGCAGCTCCTGGTTCCTACTATTTATAGTGGGGAGGGGGTGCTGTTGACCTCACCTGGAGGTGGAAGGAATACTTTGAGGACCTCCTCAACCCTGCCTCAGATACATCTACGCACACTGCCTTTGAGACATCTGAGGGCACAGAGCCCGAGGGTGCTGGGGGGGCTTGCCCATCACTGGGGCTGAGGTGGCCAGGGTGGTTAAAGAGCTACGTGATGGCTGGGCCCTGGGGGTGGACGAGATCCGCCCGGAGTACCTGAAGGCTCTGGGTGGCCGTGGAACACTGAACCAGCTTTATACTCTTGCAAGGGTACTGGAGGGGGCCTGGGAGTTTGCCTATCCAGTCTACATGTGTTTTGTGGATTTGGAAAAGGCTTACGACCGGGTTCCCCGAGGTGCTCTGTGGGGGGTGCTTCGGGAGTGTGGGGTCCAGGGTCCGCTGTTGTGGCCGATTCGGTCCCTGTACGAACGGAGCAGAAGCTTGGTCCGCATTGCCGGTAATAAGTCGGACGTGTTCCCAGTGCGGGTTGGGCTCTGCCAGGGCTGCCCTTTGTCATCGGTCCTGTTTATAATATTTATGGACAGGATGTCTAGGCGCAGCCAGGGTGTGGAGGGTGTCCAGTTTGGTGGCCTCAGGATTGCCTCGCTGCTTTTTGCAGACGATGTCGTCCTGTTGGCTTCATCTGCTGGGGATCTCCAGCAGGCTCTGGGGCGGTTCGCAGCCGAGTGCGAAGCGGTAGGGATGAGGATTAGCACCTCCTAGTCCGAGACCATGGTTCTCAGCCGGAAATGGGTCGATTGCCCTCTTCGGGTCGGGGAAGACGTACTGCCTCAAGTGGAGGAGTTTAAGTATCTCGGGGTCTTGTTCACGAGTGAGGGTAGGTGAGATCGGGAGCTGGATAGACGAACGAGAAAAAAATTATCAAGCTTGTAGAAGCAAGACAGTCTAAACAGGAAATCAGAGCATGTTACATATTTGTAAAAACTGTAAAAGGTAAATAACATCAATTTTCAAAATTGTCTTTTGTTTCTTATTGCTGGCAATCTAGTGTAATACTTGGGGGACATTAAGGTCAAATGCATCTGCCCACCACCCCCCCCCAACAGAACAACTGGCCTT